TGCAACTCCACTCAGAGCTTTAAAACGAAAAGATCTGGGAGGCACTGCCAGCGCGTCCGTTACCCTGTTACATAAATTGACAAGTCCCATATGCCTGTAATTTCACCAGCAGCCCTACGCTTTAAAATTGGAACGTAGTACTCGGTACTTGGTGTAACGGTCCAGTATTCGCAACTCGACGTTAAGGCGCCTATTTTGCGTGTGGAACGTAGTAATAGTTGGCGGCATTACTATTTGGCGGCCGAAATAGGTAAGGTGGTAGTACTTCCTTAGACGAACTCTTTCACAAGAAGCTCTGCTTCTACTATTATTACATTTATTCTCTACTACTATAATCTACTATTATTTATACTAGTATTTAGCTTCTACGTGTAAATATTTCTATTGAATAATTAGTAACACTTCTACTGATTATATTATACTGTGTTATAAGAATATGCACAGCAGCGATGAGAAGAGCTGTGAACGCAATAACGGAATATTCTAAAAAAAATAGATAATTTCATGCAGTTATTAACTAGTTAGGCTTTATTAAACAGTATTTATTGTCTAACAATTGCATTGAGGAATAAGTACAGACTTCAACAGTATTAAGTACCTTATTATAATCAACAAAAGTAAAATACAATTGACAAGAAATCCTTCTTGCTTTCGCAATCACGCTTGGTAGGTTGATCTTGGTAAAGCAGTAATCCGGCACACCTTAATAAAGATACGCAACTGTTTACTTCCTTATGTTCTTTCATTGCTTCCTATGCGGCTAATGGTGCCATAAGGGGTGGCGAAACTCTTAAGTAAGGTCTATACGGTGACAAATTAATTAGGCGTAGTAAATTTTACATAATTCCAGGACAGGACATCTGATACGACAGTTATGAAGACAAAATCGGATCAAAGAGAAGCAGGGGAAGACCTGGGTGATTTTATTTAATTTTATTTTATTTCAGATGGATATCGTCCATGCCAGAAAATACTTGACCAGTTCAGATCAGTTTTAAGAAGGGTATGCCGTAAAATTAATTTTGCAATGTCATCATTTTTTTATTTGATCTTTCATTACATTACACAATTCTACATTTAAACCGAATGCTGGAAATTCAAGCAAAAAAAGCTGGAATTCCTTTTCACTTTTCCGTTGAATACATAAGAAGGCTCTTAGTCAGGTATCTTAGAGCATCGATTGCACATCAGTGTTACAGACCTGATAAGAATGGATACACGTCCAATAAATTAGTCATCATCATCATCATTCTGCCATACGACGCCCACTGCTGGGCATAGGCCTCCTCCAACGAGCTCCACGACGATCGGTCCTGCGCTGCCCGCATCCATCGGCTTCCCGCGACCTCCACCAGATCGTCGGTCCACCTTTGGGCTACCCACTGAGCATCGTCCGGTGCGCGGTCGCCATTGAAGAACCTTTCCGCCCCAACGGCCATCGGTTCTCCTAGCTATGTGCCCCGCCCACTGTCACTTCAGCTGAGCAATTCGTCGAGCTATGTGGGTTACCTTAATTCTCCTACGGATTTCCTCATTTCTGATTCTATCACGTAGGGAAATACCGAGTATCGCTCAATGAATTAGTCACTATACAAAATTACAGTAATACTTTGCTACAGTGTTCTCAATACTGGCTGATTCTGACGTGTCAACTAAAATTATCACAATGGAAGAATTGAAGTTACCTATAACATTGAGTTTACCTTGAGCACCAGTAGAGCTATAATAATAATAATGATAACGCACACACTAAACATTGCCCCGCACTAGGGAAACCCTGTGTCGCGGGTACCATGGATACACACATAGAAACACAAATTACACCCAAACCCACGGGAGAAGTAAATGTAGGCCATACAATTATTTCTCCCGCACTGCAAATGTTTTGGACAGGGGTGTCGCTGAAAACCAAGCGCATGACTTGTTCGCCCTGTCATTTGACAATATAAAAAATTTCTTCACATAAACTCGCAATTTTGCGACTCACAACAGTGATGACAATTATTGTGTTCAATTTTAAAAATTTCGGCAAATCATACTAATTATTTTGTTGTCTATCATTAAAATTAACTTAATGTTAGTGTTTTGAGATGATGTTTTTTATGATACAATTTATGCAAGTTGCGAATTCAATTAATCTTGTAAAAATTTCAATAACTTAATAAACTAATCTGCTGATCCTTAATTGAACTTGGACGTTCGAAAACCAAGTTAATTTCCAACTTTATTACTGCTAACATTTGGAAACGGGAATAAACTCGTTCACATTCGAATAGGTATTTTTCACACCTACCTACCTACGTTCCCGATGTTTAGACCAGGTTGAATGAATGAATGAATGATTAATGAATAATATTTATTTGCTTAAAATATGGTTTACAATAGGTGATATAAGTATACATAATAAAACAGTACTACTAAATTCATATTTTACCGATCGCGGCATGCAAATCTATGGATGTCAAAGTTTTGGCAGCTAAACAAATCTAAAGCAAGGCCTAAACATATTATAATAGTAAGTTATTGTCATGTCATGAAGATGTCAAAAAATATAAACAATTTAAATACATACCTTGTCAAATAAGTTAAGTGGTTCAAATTTATTGAGAATTATATGTAAAGAAGTCATGAATTGAATAGAATTTTTTATCTCTTAGCCATTTGCACTGGCCGTGGCCTCGGGCTAACTGGTGATGCGGTGTTTACATCTCCTTCTCTGCGGTGGAACCTTCATCCACCCCATTATATTTTTCATGCAGTAATATTTGGTCTGTGAGTAATATATATATATATGCATTGTACTAGAGATGCACCTAGTACAAGTCTCACCGACTAACCGACGTTTATTGTCGCGAGAGCAGAGTCCTATCCAATGGTGGGCAGGGCATAAAACAAGATACCCAAAACTGGCACAGTTACCACGAGTGTTTTTATATGCACCTGCAAGCACTGTATGTAGCGAGCGGCTATTTTCCGAAGCGGGTAATGTGTATGAAGAAAAAAGGCAACAAACTATTACCTGAACGTGCAGAAAGCCTTGTATTCCTACATCAAATCTTGCCTTTGTTAAAATTTAAATATTAATAATGTAAACTTTCTTTCTAAGTTATTAAATTGCTACAAATTGTTACAATTGTCTAGAATTTTTTTTTTTTTTTTTTTTGGTTTTACTTTATTATGTCTATAGCTGTAATGCTTTATTTTAACCGAGTACAGTTGTCATGAACCGAGTTATTCGGCTGAGTACGAGTAGTAAAAAATCGGCCGAGTATACCGAGTAGCAAATGAGTACTCGGCGCATCTCTACATTGTACTGATATTTGGAAATGGGAATAAACCATTCACATACGATAAACAATATTTTTCACACATAACTAACTAGTATCTCACACCCGCATTATATTTTTCAAAATGTGAACGCGTTTATTCCCGTTTCCAAATGTTAGTATAATGCAACGCGAAAGTTTAAAAGTAAATATTGTTACTGCTTCAATAGTACTACCACATCAATAAATTGCGGTTAGTAATTTTTTCGTTACCAAAATACTACACGGCAATGTTGGGTGCAAAGCATTTCTATAAGGTGATATGAAACGTGTAAGGTCACTTCTCGATCTAGTTGCTATTGCAACAGTCATTTTAATAAGACAATAAAGATATTGTATATGCGAGTATTTCATACCCATATTATGATTTTTAGTCTTTGTTAGAAACTTTCTAAGAGCCGCTGTAATCAACTTTTGCTTTAGATTTATAAAGAAGCTATTTAGCACTTTGAAATTAAAGAGTCATGAAAATATAGTCCGTAATGCTCAGCAGTTAATAAATGTCGGCTTATAGATAACTAGTTGCCGCCCGCGATTTTGTCTGAGAGTTGCTTCTGTGCTATACTAATTTTCATAGTTTTATTGGTTTTCCATACAAACTGGCATCCCCTATTTCACCCCCTTTAAGGTTTATTTTTGTAACAAAAAGTAGCCTATGTCTTTTTCCTAGGTCTCATCTATCTTTATACCAAAATTCATCAAAATTTATTCACCGGCTTGGGCGTGGAAACGTCACAGAGTTACTTCCGCATATAAAATATTATGTTCGTTAAATGTATGGCATCTTAGAATTTTTAAAATCCCGAGCTACAATCTCGCATTCTGCGCCCGTCTTTTCGAATTTCTCGAAAAATTTGCTTTTCGATATTACATAAACTATGTATATAAGCACATAAGTTTGGCACCTACTTATCTTATTATAAAGCACTGAGGATGCGCCGATAAGTTCAACATCCCGTGTTTGTATAAATTATAGATATTCTTTGTTTGTCAATTTAACTGTCTCATATAATTTATGAAACGAAATACGGTGGCTAATTTAAATAATCTCATAACGGAACATAATATTAATTTATTACCAATTTACATATTTGGAGGAAATAAATAAGTAAAAACCGTGGATATTTACAAGAAGTTTCTAAAATGTGGGTCGCTTAAAATGCATGCCACACGCTTACACAATCGAAGATTACGATTCTAACATGAATCTAATAAATGATTTCACAGTTTCCTGGTACATTTCGTATTCAAATAGTAAAGACACTTTCTATGCTTTGATACACTGTCCAAAATGTTTTGCAATTCAATTATTAGCGGAACAAGGATGCATTATGTGATTGAAGACAAAATAATGGGTGTCTTACGTTAAATAGTTGGATTGACAGTGCCTGCAAGTAGGAAATTTACTTTTTGTTTTGTTGGTGATTGATGACAACTACAATTACTTTTACACATAATCAATCTTTACTATAAATGCTTTAAAGACTTTCTATCCATGGCAAAATTAGTAAATCTTCGGTGGCTTACGTTATTATTTCTCGTAACAATATTATATAATTATGACCTTTATAAGCCATCACGGCCTTGCATTTTCGTTTTCAAGCGCCTACAAGTTTAGAAATCGCAAAATGTTAATACGAAATTATCAATAACAAAAATAAGTCATACTTTCAGGCTCTTTATTAAAGAGAACAAACCTTAAAAAACGTATTATTTTATCACCTTGAATTGTCTTATCTTCATCATCAGTCGAATTTAGTTTAATTAACCACCTTCACATAATAAGTGTCATTTGTACTATATCACTAAGAAATATCAACTATATGTACAATATTAAAAACACTACAAGTGGCCTAAATTATCAGTGCTCCCAAATGTGTTTAATTATGGATAATTTTTGATTTTTATTTCTAACTGGAATTTCTATAGGTACTGTCTTTTTCACTCCCACTGGCACAATCCGCTTCACAACGTATGGTTTGTTCACTTTAACGAAAACTTTTTTCTCAACTGTATAAGGGACACGTTTTTCTACTTCAACGGGCACGCGCTTTTCTACTTCTACCTGTTCGACTTTCACTACCGGATATGGAACATGTCTTATAATCTCCAATGGCACAGGGTATGGCTGGGGCACTTTGACCTCGAAAGGTTCAGGAATTCTCACAATATATGGAGCAGGTATTGGTAATTTTACATGTTTTATTATTTCTTGCTTTACTACCACAGGCGGCTGATTGGCAATAGCAGCAGCTTGAGTAAGTGCTTTTTGTTTATCTATTTGATTTTCCAACAGTATCTTTTCTATCTCTCTTGCATACTTTTCTTGGTTATCTTTTGGTGTGTATTCGATTGGTACAAAACCTTTCTCAAGCTCTGGTGGTGAAAAATTTGTAGGTTCTTTTAATATATTCAAAATATTGTGATGTTGCACCAAAGGATTTAATACAGAATGGAATTCATTCTTCTTTGCATTTAATTCACGAGATAACTTTAACTGTTCTTGTTCTTCCTTTAGATCTTCAACTTTGAGTTCTTCAGCTTTTAACTGATCATCGAGTTTTTTAGCTTCGTTTTCCTGCGCTTGTATTTGTTTTTTGAGCTTTTGAGCCTCCAATATTTCTTTCATTTGAAATTCCTGTAAAGTTGGAAGCTCATCTATCTTGAAGTGATGAGTGTCTAGTTGAGGAGTACCCTTTAATTGACTCTTAAAACTTGCTGTGAGTGGAAGTGCTGTCGGCAATTTTTCTGTTTCGTCTAAGAGATGAGGTTTTTGTACTTCTTGCAAGTGATGAGCATCTAAGTGTTGATTTTCTACATGATGAGCAGCGTGCAGTTGGTGAGCTTCTAATTGACTTTCAAACTGGTGAGCTTTATGTTGTGTTTCTAAATCAACTTGATGAGTGTCTAATGGTTCCGATGTGATTTGATGATATTGTTGTCGTTGGTCTGATGCTTCCAGCTGCTGTGCATCTAGTTGGTGGGCATTAAGTCTATAAGCGTCTAACTGGTTTTCCAAATGGGCAATAAAAATTTTTTTAGCTTCCAGCTCATTTTCTGCACCGTATTCATATGGAATGAAATTGAAATTATGGTGATTTAAGTGTTGCACAGGATTATTTTTATGAAGAAGAAGTAATTGTTGCTGTGCGTCATTTTGGTTAGTAGGATTGAGAAACAATTGCAAGTTTTTATTCCCGACTGGTTTGATTTGAGGTAATATAAAGAACAGGGGTTTATGATATTGCTTTTCATGAGTTAGCAACGCTTCCTCGTGCGGTTGCTGTGAAATTAGTTGTAACTGTGGAACCAATGCCAAATGTTGTTCTTGATTTACCAATTGAAATTGTGCTTGGTGTTGCGATTCAATATTGGGTAAATGTTGCAGTTGCTCTTGTTGATGTTGTTGTAGTAGAAGAAGCTGTTGTTGTTCTTGTTGCTGTTGTAGTATTTGTTGATGCTGTTGTTGTTGTTCTTGTTGCTGTTGTAGTATTTGTTGATGCTGTTGTTGTTCCTGTTGTTGTTGTTGTTCTTGTTGGTGCTGGTGGTGGTTTAAGTTTTCTGTAGGTGCGCCTGCAACTATTTCCTGTAGCTGCAAGCGGTTCTTTCTATTAGCCTCCTGTGCTTCAATTTCGCGTTGTATTAATTGGCCTTCTTGATGCAATGTATTTTGTTGCATTAACTTCTGCATAAAATGTGGCAGCTGTGGTTGAGGTCGAGATTGAGGTTGTGACTGAGGTAGTACCTTTAGGGCACCTTGTCCTGTTTGTAAAGCTTTGATTTGAGATGGTGTTAAGTACACTATCATATCTTTCATGACATAACGGGGACCATGCACTTGATGAGGCTGCTGTTGATGCTGATTTGGGAGAGTCACCTGGGTCGGCGGAGGAGGGGGCGGGGGTGGTGATAACCCTGTGTGTTCTCGTTTATGTTGTTTTTGAACAGACTTGCTTTCATCCAACTTCTGAGAATCTTCAACAGTTTTATCAGCTTGTGCTGCTGCTAGGAGCACTGTAGCAACCACAAACCATATCTGCAAAGATAAACAAAAAAATTATTTAAAATTGTCACTTCAAATTTAGGTAGTTATTCTACTCTAAAAAATCGATATTATAAAAAACATATTCTCTTGTACTCACTGGCAAATCCATGACAGCTGCGGCTATGCAGCCGGCTGACAGTAGCGCGAAAGATCGTCTAATCAGAAATACGGAAGAACAAGTATTTTATATCCCACTTATGTATTCTCAAGCGCCGGCTGATTCATAACTAGCTCTCTTTCTGTTACGTTGTTTGAATCGCAGTACCCGTTTATGTTAATTACGGCAACACGTCGGTTGTAGAATTCAAAATGATCACGTCTTATGCTCATAGTTTGTATCTTCTTCCTAATAATCGTCATTAAATATTCACTTAATTAGATATGCTGTACTTAATGTTGGTAACAACAAGACGCATCGCATTTCAACTCTAACCTGTAGCAATAAAGTCTAAAACCAATCGTAAATTTTACGCACCGAAAGTATATTATGCATGTACGATTAAGATTGTATCAGAACCACACACTAAGGTGACCTACATAACTGATTCAAAAATAATTACGTAATTATACGAAAACATCTTCAAGTTGAAGATGAGAACCGGAAATAAGGGAAGTGTTGTCTTAACTATTTGAAGGTTAACTTCATTCCGTTCTTTGCTTTTATACGGTTAGTATTATTACGATTACATAACAAGTTTAATGTACTCTCCTATTTTACAAACGTTGGCGTAATGGTGTTCTTGTTATATTTTTAGAACACATACATAAATACTGCCGAATACAGACTCAAATCCTATGAATATGTATGAGGATGGATGGAATGATATCATAAATACGGCTATAATGTTTCCAAGAAGATCGAATACGAGTTCAGCTGTTTAATAATTGTTTCCTTTTTTATTTGTCTTCTATATCATGTTTGTTTGTGTTAATTTATTATTATTATTTTGGATATCTATTTCAGACTCTCGCATCTCCCATGATCTAAAAGATTTATTTTGAATTGATTAATTGGCAGAGCTGTATTCCCCGGCAATTATTATTATTATTATTATTATTACTAATAAATCTTCTTCTACTTATAAATTTTAATTTTGTGTTATACTTAAAAAATACTGTCAAATTCAGAACCTTCTTTTACAATTGATTAAAAAAAATTTACGTATTCAATTCTATTATAGTAACGCTCTGCATAAAACGGCCAGCATACATTTTTTAAGCTTATCGAGTCTTAACATCAACATCATCCACCCATTTACACATCCCACTGCTGCGCACGGGTCTCCTCTCAGACGAGAGTTTACGCTATAGTCCGCCATGCTGAACCAATGCGGGTTGAGGACTTCACAGGTTTTCCGAGGATTGTGAACCTTCTTCGACGTACTGGGTTCATTACGATGATTCCTTCCATGGTAAATTTCATATTAAATTTAGCACGTTAATTCCGAGAAACTCAGAGGCGCGAGCCCAGGTCGCTCTCGCGGCCTTTGGTCGAGAGGCGATAGGTCAAACCATCAAGCTAACAAGACTATAAAACATGTTGACCATAAATAAAAACTATTTTGAATTTGTTCTTAGGTTTTCGCGATCGTTACACATAGGAAATGAAACTATTTTTCCGGATTTAAATCGCGTAGATTTGTGACCGTGACCATGGGACCTGTAAAGGTCCTTGTTTGAAAAAACAAATATACGAGATTAAAATCCGGAAAAATAGTTTCATTTCCTATGTTTTGAATTTGAATTTGAAAATGTAGTGCTATATTGAATAAAATTAGATTCGGAAACTGGAATAGGCACCAAGTATAAAATATTGTAAAGATATTTCAAATTTATTTCTAAGCTGTGGTACTTAATTCAGTATGTGAACGATTGTGAGATTGGGAGATCGGCGCCGGTTCGAATCCCTGCGTTGGCATGTGCCAATGGCTATATTTCTAAGTTACGTACATTTGTAAATGTTTAGTAGGAATCACATTCGTCATCATTTCAGCCGAAAGACGTCCACTGTTGAACATAAATACGTAAAATAAATACGTAAAAATAAATAACGCACACATTCATAGCCCCTCAGTAGGGAAATCCAGTGTCGCGGGTGCCATGTACACACATTATAGACAACCATACATTACACCCAAACTCACAAACCAAATAAAAATGTAGGCCATACAAATATTTCTCCAGGGCCAGGAAATCCGAGCCGGGACTTCGGCGTGACAGACCAGCTTGGTAGCCGTTCAGCCACGGAGGCAGTTAGAAACGAGAACGCCACAACGACCGGTCGTGTACTGCTTGCTTCTAGTGGATTCACACAACCTATACCAGATCATCGGTCCACCTTGTTGGTGGTCGCCTACGCTGCGTCTTCCGGTAAACGGTCGCCTAGAAGCAATACCTCTCGGGAACGGTAAAGGAAGACATCGTGATGAAACTTCTATAATGAAGAAGATTTACAACCCCTGGAAAATGTGTGAAATCCCCTAACTGCATTGGATCAAACGAGATAAGTAGATCGATTCCTCCCATGAACACTTTTCATTTTCTCTCTCTTTTTGTTTTGTTTTGTTTCTTTTTTCACAAAAATCGTGTTTTGCTTGTGTTTCGAATTTTGTATTTTTTTTCTCTTTTTTTCACAATATTCGTGGAGCAAAATATTAGCAAACAAAATAAATCTGCTTACATTAAAAACAGAAAATGACCAAAAAAAAAGTGCTGTATTGTTCATTGAAGCTATCGACTATATAATATGACACAAATACAGATTATATAAAAACATAACACTATTGTCATAGCAGCGAACGGGCGCTGGCGCTGCAAATGTCAAAGTTTCCGAAACTGCTGGTTTAAAGCCAGGACCAACGAGAGACTATGCTTGCGCATTATACATTGAAATAAAATACATAATAACTTGTAAATAGTGCATCTAAAATGACCTATTAGATATATAAGTGCGTCGGCGAGTGTGAATATGAGTACAGCTGTAGGAGTAAATTTTGATTGTAAGTAAACGTTAGTTTTCATAATGTATTTTATATATATATATATATATAATGTGAATAGATGAAATTAAAAGTCAGACCACGAAAAAGAGTAAAACACACTACACAGATTTTTATTTTTATTTTTTGCCGGTTTTTTAGCTTGGAATTTGGGTTTGGATGCTCGTTGCGATATGTAAATGTTATTCCAGCACTTTGAAGCCGAGTACTTGAAAGTATACGGTTGAATGCAGAGCCAGGAGGAATCTAAGCTACATAGTTCAGGCCACCGGCGCAATTTTTCTTGTCTGCCTGTTTTCTACAGAACATATTTAGATGAGTGTGTCCAAGAGCTCTATGAGATCGGACTTCCAGACGTACGGCGGTATATCATCACATAAAACATCATCATAAAAATTACGAAATGACCTCTAATTTTCACATTTTTTCGATTTATCCTCGAAATGCTTTTCGCGCTTTGCTCGAAAAGGTTATTAGGACAAAAAATTAGATAATTAATTATATTTATGCATGATCGACAACTGTCACTAAGGATTTTTTTTAATCCCTTTAGTTTTAGAGTTATTCCGCTAAAACGAATTTGGTACTTTTAATGCGCAAAATTCAACATCTCCTGTTGCATGTCACGCGAACTTCAGGCATATATTTGTTTCACAAATTTGGGCGGAGCCAACGTCAAAACTTTTTTGGCATGAGAGCTCTTAAATCTGTACATCTGCCAGTAAGGAATCCTTAAAAACGATTTTTTTCTGTGAAATTGTAGAAGTGGACATAGAATAATATTTATTTAAATTATGAGTTATAATACGATCAGCTAACTCTAAAAAAATGCAAATATATCGGAAATCCGATGCCACCACCTCGACCCCTCTTGGGCTAGCGCCTAATGACCTGCATATCATTTAAATTGAAACGGTTATCACATGCCTGCGTCAAAATAAACGTAATATAACATATTATTTATTAAATTCCAAAATATACGGCATAATACCTTATATAACTATAATTAATTTGTGTTCACCGTTGACTAGGCTCATTTTAATGTTTTAGCATAATTTTATTTTCAAATAAAACGCTCCTTATTTAAAATTCAGCAGTATCAAAATGCTTGATATGATGTTTAACAGAGTATTTTAAAGATTGTCGACTTTGTTAAGACTTAGTAGGAGTGTTTTTAAGCGTAAATTCGATATTAACGTTAGTAACTTTTTCTTCACAATATTCCTAATTTCCTGCGCATGCACATCATTCTTCATCTTCATTTACTTACAAATCTAGTATATATAATAATAATAATAATAATAGTTAGCCGATACAGATGCTGATAGGCAATAATGAACAGAATTTCTAGAAAATGATGCCTTAATTTTTTTTTATACTATAGTGGCTAATAGATTTGTGTAAACTGTTTTTACCATGTATTATTGAATTTTTTGTGAAATTACTCCTCTAGTTTGTTATAATTATTAATACAAAGATCGAATGCTAAGAAAATTTCTTCGACCTGATGGGACTTGAACCCATGACCACGCTGTACCGTATCGCCGCTCTATACCAACTGAGCTGCAGGTCAAGCTATGGAAATGAAGCAATTCTTCTAAGTATGTGTTTTCAAACACATAGAAGAGTTTCGTCAACTAGATAACTGGTATTGTTATTTTATTTCATAATATACAGGCAAGGTTTAAATACTAGAAAATAAAACTAGGATAAAATGATATGAATAAAATTGGATCCCCACGGCAAGGTGCCCATGATGCTGGCAGCATTCCCCCTTTGTATAGCTATGGTTATGCGTTGTACAAGGTAGCTGCCGACTTTTGGGTTTCCCAGACTGTTTATCAATTTTTGGATAAAATTTTGTATATATGAAGGGCACCGGACCCCACGGGCCAAGGGTTTAGTCGGAGCCGAGGTCCTGGTACTTATTGCTTTTTATTCTTTCTGCCTGCTCAGCTGCGAAGCCAGCCCTCTTGCTGGTGTGCTGGAGATGGGATGAGGCAAGTATGTCCATACTCCGAGTGATGTGTGACTTGTTTTTACCATTTCTTCTTATTGAGAGGTTTCAAATCCAGGTTGGTAAAATGTAGACGAGACTACAAGCTATAATTTAGCATTAATATCTAATTTTACGAGTTTTTGTTGGTTTACACGTTATTGCTCATAGTCCCGTTGCTGGACACAGGGCTTCTCTTACTATGGGAGGGCTTGCGTTGCGGTTTTGAAGCGTAAGGCGCTGGTGAAATTACAGGCACATGGTACTTGTCAACTTACGTCTCTGGGTGACGGGTGCAATGGCAGTGCCCCTCAGATCTTTGCGATTTAAAGCTCCGAGTGGAACTGCAACTGTTACGGATAGGCGTGTCGCTTAAACACCGACTTGCGCACGACTTGTTCGTCCCGTCACATTAAAAAAAAAATACATCGTGCTAACGCTGAAACGGGAAGGAAAAAGCGTTTAAACCTGTAGGTACGTCGAAGTAAATCACCTTTGGAAAACATAATTATGAAGTCCATGAAACGCATTAGGATTACATAGACCTAAACCTTCTTCTTAGAGGAGATTCGTGGGCAAAAGGAGGATATAAAACGGTTGGCGCTGAGGTAATGATGATTCGTAAGTTATCGATTAATACTTGATTATACGTAGATGCCGCCTTGTTAAGTTTTAATAGCAAACACTTATTTAAGAAGCACTGCCTTCTTCACCAATAATCCAACTTTTGATTTTGTACAATGTAAACATTTTCGAGGGATTGCGTAAACCGGATTTTCACATTGTGTATTATGGTATCAAATATTTATGACATTACATTATATATTATTATGCTCTGTTAAGTGGGAAAAACAAGAGCCAAGCGCGTTAAAAATGTAAAGTTCTGCGCTTATTTCCCTCATTGTGCATTTTTTACTTTTAAGTTTTAGAAGGAATGTTGCGACGTATTTTTTTTACTAGCAGTAGAGTTTATGAAAGAATATGTCCAGGGAAGTACTGCCATCTGACCTATTTCTACCCTCAAGCAATAATGTGAGAATTATCCATGTATTATCTATAGGCACATAGGACTTGTCAATATATGCCTCAGGGTGCAATGGCAGTGCCTCTCAGATCGTGCGATCGAGATCAGAGCTTTAAGCTCTGAGTGGCACTGGAACTATTATGTACAGGTGTGTCGCTTACCACCTGGCGCACGACTTGTTCGTCCCGTCACTTGGTATAAAAAACATCATGCTACATTAGCATTTTTTTCAGAATCTGTGAATGCCGATCAAAATGATGTTAAAGTTCGTGGGCGGTCTTTTGGGACCGTTTTTCAGTAGAGATCTCTTTTAGAGATTAATCGACTTTTGCTCACCTTTTATATAATTAATATTTCTTTTGTATTTATTTGGTGCAATGAAGAATATATGACACATATTAATCGATCTCGATTGACCAAAAGAGTAGGCGATCCCGAGGTTATCCTCTATCTCCGAAAAATTTGTGTACTTCCGTCTTTTTAGTCTCATTATTATTTATTGAAAAATCTCGTGCCTTTTAATAATTACAGAACTTAATATCAATTGCTAATGTAACCAGATGCTTGTAGATAATTGCTAAGATGCAAGATAGCAGCAGATTAAAAAATGAAATTAATAGTAACGATATGGGTCATAAATTGCACATTCGCATTATCTCAAAGGACAATCAGTTACAAACTTATTCTATTAGTGCTTATGTAATAATGCATTCGCAATAAAATCATGTTCTTTGTACCAGTCCCTTTCATTCAAATCCACTAAGTAAATTTGAAGGATACAAAACTAGTGGACTGTACGATTGTATGATTGATAAATATGGAAATATAGTTTTCAAAGCTTCTTTAAATTGCCAATTCACAAATTTAACTGACAAATTCAACACACTAAAACAAAACAAAAACATATACAAACCCCACGTCATACAAAACAATAAAAATAATTAAAAGTACTAAAGAGTATGCAACAAAATCCATTGATAATAACAATAAAGCACACACGCATAGCCCCGCACAAGAGAGACCTCGTGCCATTGGACACACGTAACCACAAATTACACCCAAACTCACGAGAGAAATAAATGTACAATACAAATATTTCTCTCAGCTCGGAATCGAACCCGAGACCTCTTGCGTGGCAGTCCATCATGATAACCGTTCGGCCACGGAGGCAGTTAAGTTAATTGATAGACTGCACCTCTGTGATCTACACATTAATACTCGCCAAGCTGAATAATTAATCCTTTCTTTGTTACGTAAGTTCGCTGCCTTACGGACAAAGTTAAAATGCAAACTAGTTTTATATGAGTTTCATGTAATAGTATAAAGGCAACCTGCTAGTATCTGTATTTGTAATGTAACAGCTTCTGTTGGTAATTTTAAAAATATTTTTTTTTATCCCTGTTCCACTGACTGTTTGCTTAGCAAACCTATTGATGGATTTGTTTCCAATAATTCATTGTAAGACATTGCATTATTATTTAATAATGGGGTGCCAGAAAGGAGCCTCCCTGTACGACATATCATTAATTTCCTATACGTCATGCGCACCGTGGACAACAATAGGTATCTTCTTATCGTATGTATGCCATCAATACGATAAGAAGAAAGAGCTCTACACAAAACAGGAAAAATCAGCACGTGGTCTACCTTGGGTCTACCAGACAAAACACTAGACGAACTCAATTATAAAGAGTACGAGGAGTATTATAGTTATTGTTAAGGCCTAACACCATAATAATGTGTCAGACAAACAACACCAATTTCCTGGTCACTAACTAGGAAATTCCAGTACTAGGAACGCCAGAGCAACGAAATTCCATGGGCATTACCCAAAATATCCAGACCAAAACAAATTTGACAAGTTGATTTTCCAAATTGGTCCGTCCGTGACCTCATTAGCTGGTGCCCATTATGTAAACAACTAGGGGTTGTATTCCAGAACTCTACTCAATGCTCAAGTCAGGTCTTGAGTATGATTTAAAGCACTAGAAATCATACTCGAGTCCTTGCCAATAGGGTCGTATTTCCAGTGCTAGAAATCATACTCAAGTCCTGACTTGAGCATTGAATAGAGTATGTAAAATGATTATTTATTGTGTGTTTATTGTTAACGTTATATAAGTTCTCTTCTTTGTAGCTAATATAAATTCTGAACTATTTTCCTACATATTTCAAGTAATTATATAAGCGCAGCGAGAATCTGCTTTAAAATAAATAAATTAAGTGTTTAGTCAAGTAAGAATCCGTGTTTCAACAAAAATTTCATGAAACGTTTCACAAATTTATTTATCTACACGTTCTTAGGTTTTCGCGAATGTTACACTTACGGTTGACCGTGACCATGGAACCTGTAAAGAGCCCGAAACATTGGTTTGTTTGAAAGAGCAAAGATACGCGATTAAATTAATTAAATAAATGTATTTTCTATTTCTTTCTTCGATTTAAATATATAATAATCGCGATAAAAAATAGTTTCATTACCTACACGTATACGTGTTATTACACGGTACTGTACAGATGCATCGACATGACGTGTTAGTCACGGGATACTTACTTATTTTATAAGAGAGCCTAAGTTCTACTCCAGCTTGTTGTATGTTGACTCCAACGACTTGGATATCTTTGAGTTGATGTTTACTCTATCTCTGCTAATTGCGTCATTCTTATTTCTTAGACTTACCATATATTTTGAGTTATCTCTTCTATCGCTTATAATAATTCTAAAAAGAACGTTGAAATAAAGAATGATTTTATTTCAGTGGGATAGTTTTTTATTTTCAGCCTCTTAGGACAAAATTAAACAAGCGAACTAAAAAGTTATAGTTTTATTATCTATGTACATCTAATGACTATCAATATTTACAATTGATTATTTGGTACGATCACGATTCATTACTCATAGCTCACCAGCAGCATTTCTTCTTCTTGTAGTGGGTCACGTGCTTGATGATATGGATGGGGTATGGCTTCCATATAGCCACGGGTACTTCTATTATCTTTTCTATTGGTACATGGACCTTCTTGATGACTTCATAAGGTTTTTCAACGGGTATGTGCACTTTCCTGATCACCTCGAATGGAACTTTCTTGATTACTTCGTAAGGTACTGGCCTCTCGACTTCAACATGTTGCGTCTTGTACACATCGTAAGGTACATGCTTCACGACATCGACGTGAACGGGGTAGGGTTGAGGCACTGGCACTTTTACTTCCTGACGTACGGGGTAGGGCTTTGGCACAGGTACGGCGACCTTTACGTGTCGGGTCACTTCGATTGGTATACGACGGATGACATCCTGGACGACGGACTGGAGCTCGTATCTAGAGGCTGCAGCAATAGGACGGCCAACGCTTACAGAGGAACCGATAACTCGCGGTGATCCAAGGGCCGCACCGCCGCCACCGTAATCTGACCCGGCTCCAGGTGAGTGAGTATCGTCGAGGGGCAAGCCGGGACCGCCTTCATCGTATGATGAGCCAGCTCCAGAGTAACTCGGGCCTGAAAGTGCAGGGCCGCCGATCGCAGATCCGGAGTAGCTTGACGCCGACAGGTGTGCACCACCGTGTCCTCCTAAATTACCCAGTGGAGAGCTGTGGATGTGCGTTGTATCAATCGTGGGCGACGGCGCAGATGGACTGTAATGACCCGCTGATGCGCTGTATGAGGTCGGCGGAGCACTTATAGATGGTGAATATGAATCACCATGTAAAACTCCAGCTCTTGCTGTATACGCTAATGCGGATAAGAAGAACACCCTAACCTGTAACAAAGGTTTTATTATATTTAGTTTTATGTCTCAAGCTGTTTGTTTCTTAAAGATCATTACAGGAACTTACAACAAACGCCATGGCTTTTAGCTAAACGCTTTGGAGCCAGCCCACGTAAATTAGTTGTTATTGCCTCGGAGTTTCGGCGGTTTCTGAATTTATAATGTAACGTCCCCAGATATTTATACAAGTCAAACATGTTGCAGTTTCGATATGACGCCCATGAATAAATTAAACTAGCAGCTCTCGGATGTCGCTACGTCCGATACGTCACACAGCCGCCGTTGATTTTCTATGTTAATATGTTAACCTGGGTCATTAATGAAATCAGAGTTTCCTAAGATTAAGAAACTGCGTTAATTTGAGGCCTTTGCCATAGACTTGCCATCGTTCTCTAGTAATATCTGCTGAAGAACTCTGCAATAGACACAGATTAACAATATGAAGCAATAAATTTTTATACATGTATTATTCATGAAATTAAAAGGTTCAAGTTGTTTTCTTTCTAAATATAAACTCCTCAAATATCTGGAGGTAGTCAAATTAAAATGTTTCAACTTTGGCATTTGTGACTTACCCGCACTAGAAAAATATTTCATTTAAAAAGTGCTTATGTAATTTTTTTTAAAGTACCACTAAAATCACATACTGTTTAAACAATAGTTCCAATCTATCGAGTTCTTAGCATTTCTAGATGAAACTATTTTTTCGGATTTAAATCACGTAACTAAATTTGTTTTCTCAAACGAACCAGGCAGCGTTTCGGGTCCTTTGTAGGTCCCGTTGTTGTCGCGAGTAATAAAATAGACGACTCGGTCCACACAAATTTATTGTATAATGAGGCAGAAGAAAAGTAAATAAGGCGAAAAGGAAGCCCCAAAAGGGCCGTATTTTCTACAAATATAAGTTAGGTTACTTGATTTTAATAATATTAGATAGGATACATGATTTTAATTGAAAACTGATAAAACTGATCAGAATTCAAGTTAAGACGAGCAGGAGCACTCGCTGCTGACATTTAGTAGAGAGTCGACGACGGAACGAAGCAAAGTGACAATGACGAGACAAAAGAATTAGAGAACAATTCAAAATTTCAAAAGGGGCCAGGAACCAGAGAAAAGGGTGATAAAAAAGATGACATTGAAAGAGGTCGCATCGTCACACCGAGGTCACGGCTGACTGAGATGGTAAAGTTATCAATCAGTTATATCTTATTTCCAATGTTTAACAATAGGTTTTATTTACTTAGAAATAACTACTAAATATAATTTATGGTACTAAGTGCCCTTGAGTGAATTAATACCATTGCTACATTGTATACCATTAGGCACGCATGGCCGTATTATTTTTACAAAATACATATTTTACTAAAAATGTATATTTTTTATTCAGTGATATTGTCGTTCTTCAAGCGTATCTCAATATAAAAATGTTAAAGACAGCAATGGAAAAGATTTTTTAAAGATTTACTTTAAATAAGGTGAGTGCATTGTAAATACTGATGGTAAAATTAAATTGGAGAACTTACTCCTTTGTAGCTTTAAATAAAAGCATGCAAATATACGATACATTAAGCAATCGATTGAATTAAAATGAGAGACATATATAATAATTAATTTATATGTGTATCGATTTGGAATCAATCATTATTATATTTGAAAAAATCGTCAACCGAGCAGAATAAATGTTTGAAAGGCGTGATGCGCAGATCCTTTTTCAATCTAACCAAATAAAAGAAAGATCTGAAAGTTTCGAAAGAGCACCTTTCATCATTAATAATCGTAAAAATACATCTTGTACATTAACAGTGATCACCTTCAGGGCAAAGATAAGTAACCCAAATTCTATAAAACAGTTTTATTTATGAGTGATTTAGTTGTAATGCAATGTGCACCAGGAGCGTTAACTCTACTGTTCTAATCACCTAAGAGCATTAAATGCACGACAGCTTGCAGGTAATTTATCTTGCCAGGCGAAATAAGTGCTTAAAACTAGTGCTAAAAACTTTAGAAGTTTAAGTAGTGATACTTACATTTTATGAACGTAAATACGAAATATCTTTTTTGTAAAAACCAAATTGAATTTGAACCTTATATTGGTGTGAAGTAGTATCCAATATGGTGACGATTAGTTAAGTTACAGCATTGTGAAGTAACATAATTATTTAAATTTATGTGTAAACTCTTTTCTAAATTATTTGATGATTTAAACGCAGATTCTTCCTCTCAGGAAATTATATAAGAGTTTGTTTTGTTATTTGTTTCTACTGCAAAGTACCGCTGGCAGCTCAATTGACATAAAATAATAGTGTGAACAAACTATTTTATTTAATATACATAACATAATCTAATTAAGTTAATTACACCTTATCTACGCCTGAGCTACGATTCTGGGGTATTCTAGTTTAATCGGCTGTCTCTCACAAATTTGAATACTTAAATAAAATTTAAATAATTTGAATAATAATAATAACGCACACACTCAACATAGCCCCGCACTAGGGAAACCCTGTGTCGCGGGTGCCATGGACACACACATAGACAACCACAAATTACACCCAAATTCACGAGAGAAATAAATGTAGGCCATACAAATATTTCTCCTGGCCCGGGAATCGAACCCGGGGACCTCTGCATGGCAGTCCGGTATGGTAACCGTTCGGCCACAGAGGCAGTTAAAAATACTATATTTTTTTAGTTTGTTCCTAAATAAATTAATGTTATCGAGTTCTTAGATTTTTCGCGATCGTTACACTTAGGAAATGAAACTATTTTTCCGGATTTAAATCGCGTATATTTGTTTTTTCAAATAAATCAACGTTTCGGGCGCTTCACATGTCCCATGGTCACGTTGACTTAGTCAACCGTAAAAAATAGTTTCATTTCCTAAAAATGGATGTTTTTATTATTAAAAATGTGGCAGAAAACCACATCTCAAACTAGGTGTTAAACTTGGGAATTTCCTGTACTAGAAGTACCAGAGTAACAGAATTCACTCCGGAGGACTACGCAGAGCACCCTGACTAGAACCAGTTTAGAAATCTTTATTTCACAACTTGGTACAATCGGGAACCGCACGTGGGTTCTCCACATACAGCGAGAGCCCACAATGTAAAAAGGTCGACAATATGGATAATTCTTAGGAATCGCAAATGTCCATTGGCGCCTGTAACCGCTTCTCATCATTCAAGTAGACCATCAGACTGTTCAGAGTTTGTTTAACATAAAAAGGAACAGAGACCCGGAGACATTATTTGGTTTAGACACCTCTAATTAAGTGTAGGAGAACTTCTAATTAAATACAAAAACAAATAAGGGATGTGGGATTTCTTCTAATAAAAACACGAGAATTGATTTCAAATGTTTATATACTGTTTGTCCGATTTATATCGTTATATATATCGTTATACGTATAATCGTTACATTTTTTAAGCTCACAAAGTAATGTACTTCTACTCATGACTACTAATTTTTGATCGGTGTTCACCATATGTCATCATTCATTATCATATATCATTTCAGTGTCTTGTAGAAGTACTTGTCAGTAGAATCATATTCGATTTCAGCTCAACATAACAATGTCAGAATAGGCAAAATACGCACCTTGACGTCGAGTTGCGGACACCAGCCCGTTACACCAAGTACCAAGTACCAACAGTGTCAGAAAGTGCATTTTCTATTACGTCATTCGTATATTCCATAATTAGGCAAAATTCATAAATTGACATGAGAAGCTCAATAAAATTACAATCTGACCCATATAAGAATGACAGTTTTGATTTATAACACTTGAATGAGGCAAGTAAGAATGATGTAAGGGCCATTGAAATACAATGATGACTCCGATTCGTTATTTTAATAGAACCTGTCGGTTTCTCCACGCCATGTCACGTAGCTTGGAAACTTATACCTTGATGAACACGTTTAACAAAACTTTTTGGCCGAATTTTATTGTTTTTCTTCTTTGAATTTCATCAACAGTCTTCTTTTACGTAACGAATGTAGGGTGTAATTAACCACAACTATATTAATTTTTAATAATTATTTATTAGTAAGTGTAACAAATTCAGGATGTTTCATATTAACTTTCAGTTTTATTTGGCAGATGTCAGCCTTACATTAAAATTCTTGGTTACCTACACTATAGTTACTTAATGAGGAATGAGGTTTATAGATTCCACGGACGAAATTAGGCTATAATTTTATAAAAGTATTTTAAAACAGTAGGGCTAGCACTTGAGCGAGAGCGACATAATGCGCGAGATCCCTATGCGAGAATAGCACTATTGCACTAGTCGCGCCCTGTCGTGCTAGCTGTACAGAACAAATAAAATTTCATATACATATGTATAATTTGTGTTTCGCCTCACTAGCTCGGAAGGGCTTTCTTTGTCATTAGAAATGTGCGCGCAAAAGCGTTTTTTGCAAACTAGTGTGGAAAAGGTTTTTGAAATTCGAACTTGACGATGGACTGTGATGCACCTAACTTTTTCTTTCAATGAAAAATAAAAGATAATGACACGTTCAACTGCGCGATTTGTCATACATTATTTATGTAATATAAATCCATTGGTATATTTTATTCTTATTAATGTTGACATAAACAAATTTTATTTACTGTAACTGTTTTGTTTATAATTCAACTGTTTTTCTTTCATCTACTATTTTTCTCGCTATAGTGACGTGAAAAGTGTTGTGTGTTTCGCTCAGCAGCAAAGTTGTTTTGCGTCTCATGCCTTACAACCCTCGCTTCGCTCGTGGTTCCTCAGGTTTCAGTACAAGCACTCGTGTCAAATAACAACTTTTCAGCCTTGCATAACAAATACCTATTATTATATCAAGGGTAAAGATACGATGAAAAATGTTAAAGTTCAGCAAATGTGTCTCTCTTTCATGAATATATTAAATACCTAAAATAGATTGGTAGTAAATTTTCAGTATCAATGAAAATAAGTATACCTACTTTCTACCGGATTTCCATATACTAAAATTCTAACAATGCACATAGTGCACAGTGTGTTTTATCATAAATGCTTTAAGGTGTGACGCGTTCTTTAATAAACATTTCCGAAATATTTTATATTAATTATGTCTTAGTGGACGGCTAAAGGTCTGATCTACATCCTTTGACTACACACATGACAGACAATCTTAGTAATTAGTTAAATAAACATTTTATACGTCTGTTATTAGTTGCTTATCAATTTAAAATCAAAATATCTACGTCAGTAATTCAGTAGACATATACAGCTTGAAACTGCGTTCATTTACTCAAGATATTCTTCTTTTCTGAAGCCGTTACAGGCAGTTACATACAGCCCAAACCTTTAAATTATTTTAGTCAACTATGACATATTTTATATAGTATTCACTTAGTATTTTTTATTTCAACTAAACTAAAGGTACATAGTGAGTGTAATAAAAGTTAAAAAGTCTTTGGATAGTTGTTTTTAATAAAGTAACAATTTTACATTACTCATTAAAAAACGAAAAAAATAATAATTGTACAAATATTTCCTAACTTAATGACTTAGTTATCACCCTAGATTGCAGCCTCTCGATGAACTAAATATATGTAGTATTATTTACAATACTAGGAAAGGTGATGAGAACCAATCTTTGTGAGTTAGCGTTGCTCTACTTTGACGTCTACCAGCCGTGTCCATGGCCGTGCCAACCCTTGTGGTGAACAGTCTCGTGCACCTTATGATGGACAGTCTTCACTACTGGCACGGGGTAACTCTTCACAACATGGACTGGAACTTTCACATGCTTAACAAACGGCACTTCAACAATCTTCTCAACGGGAACTGGGTGAGGAACTTCTACATGAACCACCTTTTCAATTGGGATTTTGACGATCTTTTCTACTGGGTAGGGAACAGGCTTGTCAACCTTGACTTGCTGGATTTTAACGACTGGTACGGGCACATTACGGACGACAGGCACTTGAACAGGGTACGGCTGTGGAACGGGGACCTGTACGGGATGGGGAACGGGCACAGGTACAGGCTGTGGTACACGGTGCACTTGTTCCCTGTACACTTGGTAAGGCTCATCCTTAACACGGTAGCGTACTGGAACTTTAGCGTGTACGTCGGCAGCGTGGTGAATGTGATCAATTACTGGATTCTTAGGACCAGGTAGAGGGGCTTCGTTGCCGACAACGTGTGAGTGGTCTGACGCGAAACCACCAGACCCAAATCCAGAACCAGAGTGAGGGCTGCCAGAGAAAGAGCTTCCAAGGGAAGAGCTTCCAGGGAAATAGCTTCCAGGGAAAGAGCTTCCAGAGAAAGAGTTTCCAGACAGAAAGCTACCGCTGCTGTATTGATTAGAGTCGTGGTAAGAACTAGCAGACAGAGGTGCGCTATGACTGTACGATGAAGACGACAGAGATGAATGTGGTGCACTGTAGTGTTCATCGGAGCTATATGAAGAGGGCAACGGCGCCGAGTAGGATGAACCGTGGCCGAGGTCGTGGCCGTGGTGACTTTGCAGGATGCCTGCATTGCTGCTGCTCAATAGCACAGCTAATAACGCCAATTTTTTCTGAAACGAAACATTATTTATAAGTTAAGCTGTTCTGAGTTGTTGTTTTGTAATCATTCCTAATTTTTGTGGCATATGATACTTACAAAAGCAGCCATTTCGATTAGCTAATCGCTGGCCACCTGAAATACCCGTCTGTTCTGTAACAAGCGGCGCTTGTTTGTGTGGTGTCGTCTGTTTGTTCTTCTTATTTATATTGATATCTTCCTTCCTTCGCAACACGAGACATCGAGACCGAATCTGAGGAACTGGTTTTGAATATCAAGCTCTCCTTTTCTAACGGAAATATGCGACTGAATTAATTCTACGATCGATTACTTAATAGTCAGCGAACGAAGGAATATAGGCCTATCACGAAAAGTATTACAATTTCCCAATAACATTAACTTAATATGGAAATTAGATGATTAAAGAATAGTTTGAATTATTGCACAACTTTTATGATAAATCAACCTACTTATATTTACTATCTGTACTTATATGTATACTCGGAAATATTTCTTTTCTACAAAAATATGACTTCTAATAACTTTTGCTTCTTTTTTTAATTAAAAAAAAAAGTTTAAGTAACGGTTTAGTAATCTTTGAATTCTACAATGTTTATGCTTGAAAATAGTATACATAGCCATTGTACTCGTAATTGCCTGGAATTACCGTAAAACTTATACTAGAAGGAACAAAGGCCCGTTTCAATAAACAGCTGCTACATATATACCACCCATTCACATGAAGCACTAAAGTACTAAAGGAAGTATACTTCCTCCATCATTAATATGTACAGCAAAAGCGTGGAACACACAGCCAGCATCTGCACTTCCTGAAAACTATAATTTAATTCAAACATAAGTAAATGTTTTCTGTGACTGTTTGAGAAGCAATCTCGGGACGCAGGCTTTACGAAGTAAATCATTTGCTTGTGTTTGTGTGTCTATTCTGCGTATTTGTGTATTTTGCAAAATTTTTAAATTCACTCATATTTCGATGGGTCCTATGTATAAGGGAAAAGCGCAAAATCACAGTTTTTACAGGATACGGTTTCTTTGAATATGTTTCATTTTGTTCTAACGCTGGCTTATAGATTATAATGAAATGAAGCATTTCCCACAAAAAAGTGAAAGTGATCAAATTGTTAGTTTGGCCCTTATACTTAGGACGCATCGATTTCATTGCGGCATTTTTATTATAATTAATTCCAATAATTGTCCAATAATTTCATCAACACCCTTAGGCCTGACACACAGTCGGAATAACGTTTCGAAAATCCGTTTCGGAATTTCGTTTTGGAATTTCTAGGGCAGCAAAACCATACAAATCACGGACTTATCACACACATCACAGAACAGGGATACACATACGGTATTATTCGATTTTTTTTCCGATTCGAAATTTCGTATGGTGGCTTGTGCATTTGGAATTCCGCACGGAAAAAGCCGTTCCGAATACAAGTCTACCATAGATTTTATAGGGCCGCAACACACGGTCGTAAATTCCGTGCGTATTTTCGTTGCGAGAACACTTGGACTCAATGCCTTGCGTCTCTCAGCTGAGTCTGTTATTCCGAAGGGAAATAAACGTATGTGTGTGATGTATATACGGAATCTCGAATCGATATTCCGAAAATTCCGACTGTAAGTGGCCGCGGCCTAATAATAATGGATAGTTAATTTTTCTAATTTAGTATGTTAATAGTCAATTATTTGCGCCAAAGTATATATTTTGATTACAGTGTTCTATTTTGTGACGGGCCATGGCAGCATAACAGCAAGAGCTATATAATTAGCATAGTCCTCAATGGAGAGTCATGGGCCCTCTTGACATGCTTTTTATTACTCATTTATTTTATTTTGAATATTTTTTATTATTATTACTATTATTATTATTGATAATGTATTATATAACACAAGCAAAAATTTCTTTGACAACCTACAGGAGGGGTTATCGCTCTCCCAACTAAGCTGCGGCATGAATAAGCAGTAGATGTTACGAATTCCTGTATGTGCTCGTTGTAGATTTTGGTTTTTAATGTCTTTTTTGCCTATGAAAGTTTTCTTCACTCAGCCAATTTGTTTCACAAAAAACATATGAATATAATATTAGTAAAACATAATGATATTCAATAAAATAAGTATTTTTTATTATTTCTTTTTGTTTTCTGTCATTTTGTTTTTTTTTTTTGTGATGTGAATGAATCGTGTAATTTTCTATAATTGTTTGTATTTATGTATTTTGTGTTTCTTTTTCTTCATCTTTTTTTTTATATTTAGCTAAATTACGGTCAAGTATGTGTATATTTTATATTTAAAAACCTTCTTGTTCCGGATTAAGTTCGTATCGATTGAGACGTCATTCAGATCTAGAAACACCCAAGATCTCCTCCATTCATAAACAATCATAGTAACCTCGAAAGACATCTTTAGTAACCAAGACTTTGATAACAATGATTAGAATTTATAACGACGTAGACTATGTGTTGAATAAATAACATTTATCATAAGCGTACATTTTGACAACTTTCAAATGACGCGTCATCATTTGCTAACCATAATGCCCACTTATGTGATATTAATTAACAAAGAAGAAAATTGACTTAACTTTGATATGTACTATTTAGTAGCAATAACTTATTTCTGCCTCCAAGAAATAATGTAAACTGTGAAAAAGGGTGCTAGTGAAATTACAGGCACATGAGACTTACCAACTTATATCTCAGGGTGACAGGCGCAGTGGCAATGTCAATCAGATCTTTGCTATTTAAAGCTCTGAGTGGCACTGCAATTGCCATGGATAGGCGTTAACACTAGATGCACGACTTCTTCGTCCCGTCACTTGAACTAAAAAAAAAGAAAAATCTTGAGATGAGTTCTAGACTTAGGAATTCATGAGGCTGCGCGTTTGACCATGCGTTCTAACCTTATTTATTTATTTATTTATACATTTTAGGACAATTCACGGACAAATAATATAATTATAGTATACTTAAATATGAATAATCCAATGCCGTAAATGGCATTTCCACCAACATGAAACAATATAAACAATATAAAGTGCTTAGCAAGCCGAAAAGAGAATATGATTATTTAGTTTAACCATTCCAATTATAATTGTAAGTCAATGATTCCAATATATATTTTTTCTATATCTATGACCTTTCCCGAGGTCTGACTATCTTTTTCAGGTCACCTAAACGTCCTACACTACCCATAACCCACACTGCGTTAATCTGTAAGCGGTTTTTAGAACTTGTGCAACAAAAATGTTTCCGAGCTATAATTTTTTATGCGTCTGTTGTTTTTTCCGTTTTTACATAATGGTCTAATATGAATACCATTTACGCTATCTTACGATGACTTGTAATACAAAGTTCAATAAGATAAACTGAAATTATTTCACAAGTAACTTCAATATTTGAAATTAAATACACTTTATAATGGCCTTCCCTCTTAAATAACAGCCATGGTCCACATATTTATTATGCGGTTAATTCTTTTCGTGATTTAAGAAAGGTTCCGGCATGGTCTATGTAATATTAGGATTTCTATGTCAGCCCTGAGTTGCCTACTACTGCTATGGCCTCCCCTTTTTCTTTCCACACCTTTAGGTTATGCGACCATCCGTAAAAACTTATTACTCCGGTTCTAGAGCATTATCATACCATATCAAGTCACTGCCAAAGTAAATTTGCAACGATCAATCACAAATGTTTGATTGTGAAAACCTATTAAATAGTAATTTGCATACTAACTCCATGCATACATGCATATTAAAAGAATTAAACTCATAATTGTATTCAGTTAGTTAGTTATGTTTTAATTCTTGGATTCAGTATAATTTATTTAGTAGAGAAGAAAGATTTTTATTTGTATAGAGTGATACAAAAAAATCCGAGCAAATTTTAGCTGGTCACAGTCCAAACTCGTGACTGCAATCACCATTGTCAAAAGAAATGTTAGTTAGCGAATCAAAATTTTGTTTCGCCATTTCAATTTCCGACCGATCTTGTTTGAGTGTTTTTATAACCGACTTCAAAAAAACGAGGTTTTCAATTCGACTGTATGTTTTTTTTTGTATATATATAACGCGCTAACTTTGTGAACCGGTTTTGATAATTCTTTTATTGGAAAAAGGGTACCTCAGATGTGGTCCCATTAAAACTTGAAGAAAATATTCCACCTATAAGAGTGACAAACTAGAGTATGAATGACTTTTGAAGTCGGTTCTTTTTAGTACCTTCTCTATACTGTTTTTTTTTTGTTATTTGTTTGGTGTAATAAAAGATAATACATTAGATGGTCGTGATAGGGAATCACGCCCGCGAGCTTGTGCTACATCGAATGACGCCAACGGTTAATTAAGTAGTGGCCCAGTTACATCAAATTTTAAGCTACTTAATCCTCATTAAGTATGTCGTTTAGTGTCATACATAGACTCTATTGAGAAAAGCATTTCGTTTCATAACTTGCGCGCATCATAAAACATAGGCAAGCGATCGGAGTGGTGCGAGCAGAAAGCGCGACGCACGCAAAACGCGATCTGTTCCAATAGATCTAAGTTAGTGACATCATCTCGAGATATAAAAATAATTACTCTATGTACTACCTGTCCTTTCTTTAATACTTTGAGTGGTATCAGCTACTCTGATGTCAAGACTAAATGCCGTTACTGGTTGCAACTACGAATTTTAATTACAATCTCGTATAAAAGTTTCGTCGTTTAGTAGCAGTAAAGCCTTGTGAAAGAGTTCAGCCAGGATAGTACTTGGCAGTACTATTTATGTTTATGTAGTTATGGACAGGCATGTAGCTCAATCAGGTGCACGACTTGTTCGTCCCGTCATTTAATATAATAAAAAAAATACAAGAGACGCAATTTTTAAATACGATACCCATAAAAGTATTTTATGTTGTATTGTTTAACGTAAGGTTTACTTTTCGTTAGAAATAAATTCGATAACCACAGTAAGTTTTTGTTGATTTCCACGACATGAATATGATGCTAGGTTCCATAAATCAATCATCATTTCGTTACTGACTTAATGAATAATACACAGGGTTATTTGTAAATTATTAACAACATCGTAGATATTACTAACATCATAAACAACAACTTAATACTTCGTCACATTTTACTTTCATACAAATATAAAAATATTTAAATAGATCGCACTAACGATTGATAACTCTGTGCAAAACGTGGGAGTTGTCGCCGGATTACCAAATACAGATCTAAAGAATGTCAGATAGTATAAAAAGAAATTAACTTTACTTTTGGTCAATTTATCATGTTTTGTCAATTCACGGAACAAAAGTTGATGTTTATGATCATTGAGTATATAACCAGAAATATAGACGAAATAAGGGCCATCCATCCCTGGTCACTCATCAGGCAAATGGGCCTTATATCACTTTTAAATATCAACTCTTGTTTGCGCTGAAATCACAAATTACAAAGCTGAAATAGTACAGCGCCAACAACTGACCTGTGTTACATCCGTATCCGTATATTCCAATAATATTCTGAATTTTTTGTAATAAAGATAATATCTCTAAAAATAGGGACTGTTCCATTCGGTGGTGTAGGAAAAACAGCAAAACATCTAATTACAAAACAAACGGAATCACATTTCATCGGTAATTAAATGTTAAATATGTAATTTTTCAATTTTCGTCCATTGTAGCAAAGCTTAAGTTTAAACGGTCGATGTCAAGTGAAACAATTGACGACACCTGTCAATTATCTCGAATTCAGGCTGGCTAATCTTAGCGCAGTTGTCACCGTAATGATTTAGCAGAATAGTTTTCAAACAAATTAAATGACGTCTGTATTTCTGTAATAATCCTGTATACTCATTGCTACTCTGAGTTTCAATTGGAAACTTTTCGATAAGGTTTTCTGTCGATGACGTATTATATTTTTAGTATCTACTTCCACACCCGGTAGCTAGTAGCTGCAAGTCCATAGTTCAAATTTGAATTCAAATTACATTTGTCTAATAATAATAATATCTAATCATCACCCTTGCATGTCGGAAGTATATTTGAGAACCACGAAGTTTTTGCGAATACATCTTGTTGGTTTTCTTGAGTTCAAAATGGTAGCAAAGTTCCCTAGTTTAAGTATGTGATTCACATTTAAATCATGAATGTTTGTCTTTCTCAATGGCTGATACAGTTTTTTTTTTCATTCTGTCTAGAAAGTGTTACCATTTCACACAATTCAAAGACAAAATGAAATAAAAATTAACACACGTTTCTTTGATTAAAAGATTTCTTTATATTACTTTACATTCAATGAACTTAATGCCAACTTCTCTTTAATAGCTTTGAACCTCTGGTACAAAACGTTATAGTAGCAAAAACGTGCGTCGCATGTTGATTAACAATTATGCTAATATCTTTAATGAATACAGTTAATTGCGTAACATCGATCTGAGTACATTAATCTTTGTTATGAAGCATTAGCATTGCTCGAGTGAAATCAAAAGAAAATCTTCTAGAGAGATTCCATCTAACGTGAGTGATGTCATATTTTTTCGGTATTTGAACATTATGAATTTCATTCATTTCTAATGACGGCTATAACTTTTACTTGCAATTAATTGTCACTTGTAAATTACAAAATATGTCGATAAAAAAAATATAAACAGTAAGTGAGTTTATAACATCTTATATTTTTGTAACAATTACAACAAATAAAGTACAATAAACTTAACATCGTTTTTAGTTCCCTTATCACAACACAAACAATAGAGCAACAATCGTTTTAAATATTTACAACTTATAAAATACAAAAAGCCTTAGATAACTATACTAAAACTATGTACATACTTTACAAATACTTTTATCGAATCATTATTGGTAATAAATGCCAAATAACAGTTTACATTATTTCGGTAAGAGAACAATTTAAAAATAATACGTTTTAGATGGATACGTGGAGGAATTAAGAATTCTTGACTATACGAGTACATATAATATTGTATTATAATAACTAAAATATGTCTGTAGCACCATACAGCCTAACCCCCATAGAATCGAATTATATATTCTACCCATCATATAGAAGGGAAATCTCCTCAAAGATCAAAATGAACAACAATAACTCATGAGTCCAGTAACTCATGACGATAACTTACAACAAAGTTGCTTTATAATTAGAATGCGTTGAGTTTCTAAGAACTCGACGTTTGATCCTTATCAACTACTTTATCAGATTTCGCTTCTGCTACAGGCGGAGGTGGTCTTAGCAAAGTCGGCATCTCCTGATCCTCAATATTGGCTTCAAACAAAGGTTCTGCTTTCATAATTCTAACCATTCTTGGTCTCTTCTTAACCCTCCGTTTTCGTTTGTCATTTTTATTATAAATGCTTCTTGTTCTAGGAGGTGGTTTAAGTAAAGGATAAGGCTCAGCAATGCCTCCTTTAGCATACTTTCTGGGATAAGAAAACCGCCCTGATATCGACATTGGATGTCTATGTCTTTCTATTAGCTTAGGTTTAGAACTAATAGGAATTTTATGTCTTTCTCCACCAAGGTTATTAGTAACAGAGAGGTGATCATCCTCCTGTCCTGTCAATTCTGTTTCAGTGTCAATTTCTCTCACATTTACTGGATCATCTTGTTCGACTACCGCACCTATGGGATGATTGTTGGATGCGTCAGCAATAGGCACAATACTTTCCTCTTCTTCTTGACTACGCGAATACTTCACGCCTTGATAAGGGAATCTTCCATTGCTATAAATATCAAAGTACGGATTGTTATATGCACTTAGACCATCGCTTACCGGAGAAAGACTAGGATTACCGGTTTCATGTTTGAAAAATATCTGCTGTAACTGACCAAGATCCAGTCTGAGAGGTGGTGCTGGTTTAGCGTACGGTTCCCTCAAACCTATCATGCGACTTTCATCAATTGTTGGCTTTCCTTTTAACATATTTGCTACGAGATTTAGGTCTACATTGTAAGGATTTGCTACTTTAAATCCATTAATCGTTGATAGAATGCCACTTGATTGGGAATCAATTTCCGGTCTATTCATCTGTTGTTGTTGTTTATTCAGCACTAAATTATTAAGAATTTTTGCCGCAACGTCTAATTGATGACTTCCAACGTTTTGATTCAATCGCAATGGTAATGATGTAGGTAATTCAATAGGCTGTTGATAGTCGTTGTTCATACGGAATGATTCTTGTGGTAAATTTTGAGTTAATCTATATGGAATGTCGTTCAGCTTCAGAATACTTGAAATGTCAGTTGGATTTTGAGGGCGTTGTACGCCTTGAGGTTGTATATTGGCTGGAGAATGAAGACTATCTTGATAACTAGTTGTTTGTGAAGGAATGTAATTAGTAGATGTTGGCAAATTTGGACTATAATACTGTTCCGGTTGTTTATTGTAAAAATTCAAGTTAGGTTCATATTTCAGTCCATCAGACGACGATATTTCTTCTGGTTTCGGCCGTATATTTATTCCATAAATGGCATTTTTATCTTGATAAAACGAGTCCGTAATTGTTTTGAAATTTTGTTTCAAATTTTGCTCTAATTGGTCTTTGCTGTATGGTTGTAGAGTGTATCTATGACCATTATCCAGACCTTGGGGCAACTTTTGTTGAGATTCAGAGTTAACTACATTTGACACGTCAATGGGAACAATGTTTTTCAACGCTTTGTCGTGATCAAAGGGTTGCTTTGGTTTATCGTCTACTATATTTTCTCTAGAATTACTATAATATGCATATGGTGAAGCTGTAATTAAATCCGGTTGAGCACTACTATAAATATACGCATTTGCATTTTCATAAAATTTTGGTCTTTGCTTTTCATTGCCATAAATACTGCCTCCAGTTAATGGATTTGGATTGTAATTAGAATAATCGTTTCCGTAATACTGCTGACGTTTCATATTTTCATGAGCCTTAGCAGCGGCTTTGGCAAATTCTTGTGCATCGGTGTGTGCATCCGAGCTTGATTTAGAGATATGTTCAAAATTAGGTGGTTTTCCTGTATCCATATGAAAGCTCATTTGGCTGACGGCAACACCTTCCGGAAGTGCAAGTGACGGTTGATAACGTTGTTGATAAGGATAATTATTTGACGTGGTAGAATATGCTGTCGGACTACCTTGAGGTTTCTTGTCGTTTAACTTCCAGCCATATTCACCATGAGAATAGCGTTCGGTTTGACCAATTTCTTGTTCTATTTCTCTGTTATGACTTTTTAAATTTTGCAATGCTTGATAATCTGGTTGTATGAAACTTAAGTATAAGTTATTTGCGGAAGGTAAGTTACCAATCCTATGTGTATCGCTTTCAGAATTTTGATCTATTCTGCTGTCTTGTTGAATCTTGCTATAATGGTATTTTTGATATTGTGATAAGGCTGCATCCTGGAAGGATTTTTGTAATGCATTCGAATTCATCGTATTTTGCCAAGAATCTCTTACAGGATCAGGGTAAGGAGTAGAGAGAGGAGGAGGTGAAGATGTTGATGATGGATAATCATTTTGATATTGAGGTTGATATCTTAAGCCATTCGTAGAAATATCAAAATGATCAATTTGCATTTTCTTTTCAGGGTTGTCAAAGTTAATTATATTGCTACCTATAGTAGATGTAACCTTATTATTGTATTCTACTACTCCTGTTGGCACGGGTGCTTGCGGGGACGAGACATATTGCTGTAAATTTGAGGGACTAGACAAGAATATTGGAGAAGAACTGGACACATGAGTGTTAGCTGGCGTACCAATGTATTGATTATTGGATGCAGTAGATAAATACTGTGGTAAAGGAGACGGGATACTTTGTGCATTTTCAAATCCGTAGGAGTTAGGACCGTTGTAGTGATAGAGGTTGTCAATTGATCGGTAAGTTTGGGGTTGAGCCATTTTTGGTTCTGTCTGCGAAATTTGATTCGATTGTTGACCATTGTTGTCATAAACTGAGGCGGCTATTGTCGGGTATTGATATTGTGGTTGCGGTGTAGCTGTATATCCTAAGTTGGGGGTGGAGGTAGATGCTTGCTCTACTGAAGCAGCCTGCTGTTGATAATAATTGTTTTCTGCTCTCATTTGTTGGAGGAATTGTTCCGGTGGTAATGAGTACTGCATGGCCGCATACTGGTTACTAGCCCCGGTGTCGCTGTCCTGTGACCCAGAGTTGGTATCTTGCTGTAATGTCTCTTCGTTCAAATTTCGTTGGAAGGGATTTTTTATACGATATATTTTTTTACCGCGTCCACGATCCGCTCTATTGTAGTCTTCTTCTTTTTGCACATCGTCCATTTGGTACTGAGCACTCAGAGAACTGAGCGTCTGACTGTTTACATCTCGTTGTAGTACATTAGTATTGTAGCTAGTGATGGGCTCTACCTGACCTTCATTGGCGATTTGATGTAGACGCAAGAGGTCTTGATTGCTGAATCCATCTTGACAGCGAACGTTTCCGGTGGATAGAACTATGACTAGTATCCGTATCTGAAAAGAAAAGAAAGCAGCTTAGAAAAGGTGACAAGTGGACAAAATATAGTCAATGACAATCTGTATGTAAATTAACATAAACCCTGTCGATTTGTTGTCAATTAAGAACCCTGTTAAGGAACCTGCCACCGGCCCTTATAACCAGATTATCTACTAATCAGTTGCGTTGAAGAAATTTCACTTTCAACGCTTGCTCATAGCAGGGGTCAAACTCATAGGCCTTGTAGGATATCTTGATAATAGCTTGACGCATCTCAGAGTCTGGTTCCACAAACATTTTTACCACGGGTTACCTGACTTTCACCTGTCATTTTGAATTTAGGTTTGTGGTTTTTAGAGATTGAATATTCTTATAAAATAATTTTATTTACAACCATACCTTCATAATTAAATGTAAATAACTTTTAATTTACACAAAAAAATAATTGTGACAGTCGTCGTGGCACTAGTGCATTAACAATGTATATACTTATAATTAACAGCCAGAGTTGTTACGCTGCACTTACTACTGTACTGAGACCATGACTTTCTTAAAAGTATCAAATTCTCTGAAATGGCGTACACGCTAGATTTAATAACAGTATATATAACGCCCAAAATACATAGAAGTAGATTATGTAGAGTTAATTAAAACTACGATAACCATTTAGAATTTTCTTATATTAATTATAGAAAAGTAAAGCCTAATGCGTAAAAAAAAAACTACCGGGAAAATGAACATATTAAAATTAAATACTTATTAAGATCATATTTTAAATAAAATTATATTATTTCGAAAAGATTTATTCTTTCTAATTTGATAATGCAATTCTGCAGATGATAGAGACCTTTTTAGAGACTGTATTTACGTTTCGAGTTCTTGGGTTTTGGCGATTGTTACACATAGTTAAAGAAACTATAAATCACATTTTGCATTGCATTAATATTAGACATAACTGGACGATTTTACTATTTCAGTCAGCCGTGACCATGAGACCTGTAAAGGAACCGAAACATAGGTTTGTTTGAAAAAACAAATATACGTGATGTAGTTCGAAAAAATTGTTTCATTTCCTATGAATCTGCGTTGTTGTAGAAACTTAGTATCTACACTACGTGTCAGGAGAACGGCACTGCCGCATCTAACTACTCGTGAATACAAAACACAGTTTGATTTACTTACATAATAAAGTTTATAATTAAAGTACAGTCACATGCAATACTAAGGTTACACGTAGTGGTATAAGAATCATATAATCCCAGAAAAGCTTGTTGAAACGGGTATAAGCTGTTACCACCATGAAGTAATATTTCGAAATTATTTGAAGGAAAGGAAGAGCAATAGTTTATTTCGTAACTTTGATTTACATGTGACCAACTGATAATAAAGAAAAACTTAAGATGAAACACAAAATAAACATAATTACGATTAGTATTCTAATTTGTCTCTAATTCGCCAACTCTCTTTCTCTAAGACCAACTTCTTAAAAAGGAGTTTTTTGTGTGTAACATTCACGCGATTACTCCGACATTTGTGATTTAAATGATTTTGACAATTGCAATTTTGTTATTGAGAGTACTTCAGTAGTCGTCCCATAATTTGGAGAAAATATTCCACCTCTTAAGTTGACAATTTAGGAGATGAATCCGATTGAATTTGATCCAATTTCCGTTAACCGATTTCAATTAAACTTGGCAAATAGTACATCTATTCCATAAAGTTTTGAGGTCTTTTTTTTATAAAAAGGTTATAATTATCAATGAAACGTGTAAATAACCACAATTTATATGGGTTGTCCCCTATTAACTATCCAAAGGAAAATTAAAATTATTAATTTTTATTTCTTACCCTTTTTAGCCGACTTCAAAAAGTGTGGGAGGCTCTTAATTCGACTGATTTTTTTTGTATGTATGTTACGCGATAACTCCGATATTTGTGAACTGATTTTGATAATTCTTTTTTGTTGGAAAGAGGTTACCTCAGTATTGATCCCACTTAAAATTGAAGAAAATATTCCACCTCTAAGGGTGGCACTTTCCGATAACCGATTTCAATAAAACTTGGCAAATAGATTCCACGAAACTATGAGGTTGGTTTTTTAGTATTCAAACTGTACTAACTTTTCTTTACATTGTGTGTATGTAGTGTATATATAAATATATATAGATTTAGATCTGTCGAATGTAGTCGTAGTGTTTATAAATATTTAAAAAAAAATTATTTCAATTTCACACCTGTATGCATATTAATGCTTATTGACTGTACAATATACTATGTATTTAGAGTAACTGTAGCAAACCGCAGATTCAAGATACCACAAATAATAGGGTGCAATAGAAACCGCAGGACGGTGACCGCAGTCAATGCAACATCAAGATGCAGCCAGTTATAGTTCTGTTCGTGATAAATCCTATACCTCCAATGAACACTACGCCAACTTTGGTCATGTTCTGTTATTCTTGTAAACAGCCATATTTATTGACTAATATTATGCACCCCGAAATTGGTGACAAAAACAAACAAATTTCAAAAATTACCAAAAAAATTAATTTTGTGAAAAAAAGACACAAAATAAAAACAGAACAGGTCCAAAAATGAAGTTGTTGTAGTGTTCGTTGGAGGTGTCGATGTTCTGCTGTTTCGTTGAATGTCAAATAAAAGTTAACTCGCACCCTTGGTGTAATAATGCCACGTCTGCAAAATTACAATTTTTTAGGAGTTAGGTTTAATGATTCTACGAACGAAATTAGTCGAGACCTTTCTTATGCTTAAATGGAGTTATAAAATTTCATATTTACGCAATTTTTTTCATGTAGTTTGCGTTATTTAATGACTTTCTTGTGATAAAAGTATTTTTGACGTATGATCACATGTGGCTTATTATACCAAGAGTACGTATCTGTATATTTAATTTTTTATATTTATTTAATGGACTTCAATAAACGGAGGAGGTGAAATATTTTTTATACACGAAAATAGCATCTAAATATAAAATAATTTTGTGCCTTAGTATCATTTAAAATAATAATTTTGAAAAAGAAGAATGTGGGTTACACCACGGATTACCTCAATCCACATGAAAATCAAAACAAAACAAGACAAAACTACATGAAGTACGTAGCTCTGAATTCAAATTTTTATAGATGATAAATTTTACTAGTAAATCTAGTAAGACATGGAAATTTGTATTCGGAGATTAAATCTGTTTATTATCGAAAGATTTTAACAAATTAGGAGTTTTTTTAAATTCTTTCTGTTTAAGGAAAGGCAAAAGTTCAACACCATACAGCCAAAGTTTGGTGTTTTTTTCTTTTGCTAGTTTTGGGTAGATAAGAATAAGCCCATACTATATTTGAAAATTATACTTTATAGACATTAAGCCTCGTCTTTGATGGATCGCCATATCCGAGTGGAGTTAATTCTGAGTATAATTTAGGTTCTCCATTTGATTTCGGTGGCGAATACCCAAGTCCGAGAATAACGTCAGTTCTGAATAATTTGTCAATTATAGTTGTGATTAAAATTTTTCTATGCTACAAATGTAAACACTGTCTATAGCGACCATAAACCGAAAGCTTCAGTCATAGAATTTGAACTGTTTGTATTAATCAATTTGACCCTTCGGTATCACAAATAAGAGATATTTCAAGCAACTCACATATACAATTTCTCGAACGTAATCATCAACAGTGATCGCTACTGCATAATCGTGAGCTTAGTACATCCAAACAGGAACTGTGCACAATAGAAAGTGCACGGGGTGAAGCTTTCTGCGCGGGCGCATAGCCTAGAGAAATGGCAAGGGTGAAAGGGCACACGTTCCCGCCTTTAGATTGATCACGAAGTTCGAAGTATGAACGCTAATGTGAGGCATAAGTGACTTAAATTGTCGTCGCTTAATTTTGATTTACGCGTGAATGATTGTACATAAGGCGATGATTTTTCTTATTAAGCACATTACGTTTGTGGACTGTATTTGTTTATTTAAGGCTAGAATAAATACACATTTTTATATAAAGGCATACCGTACATCGATCCTCAACATCAGATTTCATTGTCTTTATATAATTTCAGGATTTTTATTCCAGAGAACTTGCCAGCCCTATTATAACCTTACTCTAGTTGTTACACAATGTAGGTACATTAAAAAAATATATAATACATATATTTTTATAGTTATTAAAAGTACAAACTCAACTGCTCAATATGAGATTTTTTTTATAATATCAAGTGACGGGACGAACAAGGCGTGCGCCTGGTGGTAAGCGACACACATATCCATAACAGTTGCAATGCCACTCAGAACTTTAAATCGCAAATATCTTAGGGGCACTGTCGCTACGCCCGTCACCATGAGACACAAATTGTCAAGTCTCATGTGCCTGTAATTTCACCAGCACCCTTACGTTTTCAAACTGGAACGCAATAATGCTTACAATACTGACTGGCGAAAGAAATAGGTAAGGTGGCAGTACTTTCCTGGACGAGCTCTTTCACAAAGAGCGTCTTCTACATCTACTGTTACTAAACTGAGAAATATACAAATTAAAAATAACTACAACAATAAATAAGAATAGGCACGCATGTGTTTTTAATTACAAAATAATATAAACCAATTACGTAGAATAAATATAGAGGATACGAACGAGACATTGACAATATTATCATGTAGTATCGTTATACACTCATATTAAAATAGTGAAATCGTACCTTAAAAGATCTTGTAAAGACTAAGTACCTGTTTAACCACACATCGCTTATTATCCATCAAAACGTTATTACGTATAATATCATATTATAGTACACCTTTGCCTCTTTGCATTAATAAATCATCATAAAGCCCTTGTAGTTTGTTACATAATTGTTTTCTATCATCATTCATCTTTGTACTATAAACAAGTTGAATTGTATGGCAACTTGAAACCTGCATAATTATCTGCCCCTTTTGAACTTTTGCCATTTATTACAATATCGATAAAAGGGGAGATATAAGAAAATAATTTAACGGTAAATGTTT